ATTAGTTAAAAGCAAACATAAGCTTTAATAACGGCACGTAAAAAATTGTTATCCGACACGGCCATATTTTCTCTCCTCTCTTTATCCAACCACCCGGTCTCGCTCTCTCCCCTACGTCCTATGTCTTCTCTCTCCTCTCTCCCTCTCCTCTCCTCCTCCTCCTCCCTCCCTCTCTCTCTCCTCCTCCCTCCCTCTCTCTCTCCTCCTCCCCTCCCTCTCTCCTCTCCTCCTCCCCTCTCTCTCCTCCTCCCTCCTCTCTCCTTCTCCCTCCCCTCTCATTTTTCTCTCTTCTCCTCTTCCTTTTTTTTTTTCCTTCCTCGCCATCACCCAGCAACAAAGCATACACGGCAACATTAAAAAGCGAACTCTCCTTTCTTTCAACTCGAGAAAGTCCTCTTGTCCATCATCACGAGTCCGGGCTTCGAGAGATATGTAGATGGGTACTTGCCCTCTGGGAGCAGCTCCAGGAGTGTATTCCAATCCAACAATCTACTCCGATCTACTCCAACAATGTATACGTATACAATTTCATCAGTGTGCCCCAATCTAATATGCTCCATTCTATTCCACCAATATAATATAATCTTCCCTCAACAATGTATTCCATTCTACTCCAACAACACACTCCATTCTACTTCAATAATGTACTCTATTCTACTTCAACTATATGCTCTATTCCACTCCAATAATGTACCCTATTCTACTTCAACAATATATTTAATTTTACTCCAACAATATGCTCTGTTCTATTTCAAAGATATATTTGATCTTACTCCAACAATATGCTCTGTTCTACTTCAGTAATATATTTCATTCTACTCCAACAATATACTCCATTCTACTCCACAATATACTCCATTTTACTCCAACAATATATCTTACTCCAACAATCCATTCTACTCCAACAATATAGCATTCTACTCACTCCATTCTACTCCAACAGCCTATTCTACTCCAACAATAGACTTCATTCTACTTATACTGACTCCAACATAATTCTACTCCAACACCATTCTACTCACTCCAATTCTAAACAGCATATTCCATTCTACTCCAACAATATACTTCATTCTACTCCAACAATATACTTTATTCTACTCCAACACACTCCATTCTACTCCAACAACACACTCCACTCTACTCCAACAACACACTCCACTCTACCCTCAACAATGTCCTCCATCCCACTCCCAACAATAACACGGTCTCCTCGAGTTCACAGAGAAGCGAGAGGACATCAGCACTCGAAGCCGTCCTCTCTCTCCGTCCTCTCCTTCCTCTGTCAAATAATTAGCTTCTCGAGGACTGCATTCTTAAGGGGATATAAATGTCTTGCGAGGCTTGGGTACTTGTATGTACGAGAAGAAGGGGACGGGGAGGGGGATGGGGGAGGCGGAAGGAAGGTACAGATGGGGGGTTGCCTGGAGGAGGGAGGAGGGGAGGGGGAGGAGGTGTGGGGGGAGAGGGAGTGGGAATGCAAGGGGAGGGTAATGAGAAAAGAAAGGAAGTGAGGAGGAGGGAGAGAGGAGAGAGGGAGTAGAGGGAGAGAGAGAGGGAGGGAGGGTGGGTGTGAGGGGTGAGTGGGAGGTCGAGGGAAGAGAGAGGGAGGAGGAAGATATATTTATTTATGTACGTACGTACGTACATACATTATGTATGAGAGAGAGAGAGAGAGAGAGAGAGAAGAGAGAGAGAGAGAGAGAGAGAGAGAGATGTAAGAGAGAGAGTGAGAGAGAGAGAGAGAGAGAGAGAGAGAGAGAGAGAGAGAGAGAGAGAGAGAGAGAGAGAGAGAGAGAGAGAGAGAGAGAGAGAGAGAGAGAGAGAGAGAGAGAGAGAGAGAGAGAGAGAGACTGCAACATATCACTTCACAACATGTGCCACACGACGCACGCGGTCTCAAAACCCATTTGTTTATTGTATTAGAACGTTTCTCGTTTATATCCCCCAATACCCTCTTTCCTCTCTCCTTCCTCCCATGAACCGTGCCTCCCACCCAACCACCGCTGAGCTGACATCTCCGTCACTTCTTGCCACCGGAGTCGTAACTGTCGCCCACATCACGCCACAACCACCCTAGTAAAATCATTTTCATCATCATCGCCATCGCTGCCTCTATGTCATCACTACCCGCATCGTGCCAAACAACTGACCGGCACCCCCCCCCCCTCACTCCCTGGCCCCGTTCCCCTTTAACCAACACTCAGTTGAGTTATGTTGATGCCAGGGGCCGGGCTTTGTGGCGGCAGTGGCACCCACGTGGTTATCATAATACTGCAACCTGACACCAGTGCCTTGCTGTTCCTGTTACCCCCTACCCCTCCACCTGGGCCTCCTTCTCCTCCTTCTCCCTCCGCACTCCATTTCCTCGGGCGCTACTCTGGTACTCTCATTCTCCACCACTGCCCCGTTTTTCCTCGTTTCAACCGCCTAAATAAAGTCAAGGTCTTGCACTTTTTTAGGGGGAGGGAGGGGGGGGAGGGGGAGAGGCTCGTGACTTTATGTAGGTTTAATTCTCTGCAAAACAATCAAGGACTACATAATGCGGTTTTTAGACCCATTCTATTACCGACCCTGGATAAAACGAGTGCGTATGTCTGTCACATCTTAACTCATTTGCATATTCCTATTCTAAACCCTTGCACTGTGAAAGATATAAAAGTTACATCTAAATGCCACACTCCTCGCAGTTTCTAACGGCCAGTTTCCGTGGCGTCAGCTTGGCCGTTTCTTGACAGATGAACATGATCCAGACATGTCGAGTTCGTGCTCAGACGTCTCAATGACAGGCGAGAGTCGTGCAGACGCCGCACGCGCAAACTGCTTCTTTCTTATGACTGACTGCATGTCCAGCGATTCGATTGCAACACTGACTCATCGCCTGGGTCTAGTACATCGTATCAAAGAATTAAATTAATGGAAAATTAAACAAATTCCAATATCTAGAAACTCTGCTAGAATACTGATCTTTCCAATGTTCTCGTGATTTTCTTCTATAATCCCTAAACGTCCCATGATAGCCATTCTAATAATCAAACTCCTATTAAATGATTGGTACTATATAACTTCATCCATGCTGCATTTTTTCCGATTCAATTCCTACTTCAAACAAACACTAAAACGCTCATTCAAGGAGATAAAAGATCTTAAACTACTTATGCTGCTTTCAGGATCACATTTCAAGAGCTTTTTTCCCGTATCCCGGTCAGTGAACTTGACTTGTCAATTATATACTTATACAAGTGTGTGTGTGTGTGTGTGTGTGTGTGTGTGTGTGTGTGTGTGTGTGTGTGTGTGTGTGTGTGTGTGTGTGTGTGTTGTGTGTGTGTGTGTGTGTGTGTGTGTGTGTGCGTGTGGTGTGCGTGTGTATGTGCGTGTGCGTGTGCGTGTATGTGCATGTGTGTGTGTGTGCATATGTGGTGGTGCATATGTATATGTATATATGCATTATACATATACATATACACATGTGTAGGTGTAGGTGTATATGCATATGCATAAACATATGTATATGTGCATGTGTACATGTATATACACACGCATATATTCATATACACATACGCATGAGTAAGTATATGTCTGTGTACATGAATATGCATTTGCATATATACATCTATATACATATACAAAATATACACATTGTATGTATATGTATGCGCATGTGTATATGTATGTATGTATGTATATGTATAAATAACATATGCATAATGTAACAAATAATGCAATGTGAAATATCATAAAACATTCCGAAAATAATGTAGGCCTACTCCCACTCCTTCCGGGTCACAGTAACTTAATGACGGTCGACATGAGCGTGTCCGAAAGCTGGTTCAGCAAAGGAGGCGTTTTATCCCGAGAGTTTGCGTTCATCATCCATTCCCTTTCCCTCCCCGCCCCCTCAATCCCCTCCCCCTCCTACCCTACCCTGGAGTCCCTCTGGAAAGCCTTTAAACGCTCTCCCGTGCCCCCCACCCCCCCCCCCATCCCCCTACCCCGAGCGACCCCACGAGGCCAGGGCGTTCTTATCGGGATCGCCGGCGGGAACTTTTCCGACGTCTCGACTTTTTTCGACTTTTTTTATCCTACTTCGAGTCTTTTTTTTCTTACTGCTTGAAAATCGCGCTGATCTTTATTTGCCGTTACGTAAGCTTGGTACAGCGGGAGTGCGTGGGTGCTTGCTTGTTTATTTCGTTTGCCTGAGCTCTAGCATGTAAGAGGCGGGGAGTGGGTGAATGTGAGGAAATCATGTGCGAGCGTTTATGTGCGCGTGTACGTATGTGTGAGCGAGCGAGAGAGTGATTGTGTAAATGAGAGAGAGAGAGAGAGAGAGAATTTGCTTGCACTACAGAAAAGAGAGAGGAGAGAGAGAGAGAGAGAAGAGAGAGAGAGAGAGAGAGAGAGAGAGAGAGAGAGAGAGAGAGAGAGGAGAGAGAGAGAGAGAGGAGAGGGAGAGAGAGAGAGAGAGAGAGAGAGAGAGAGAGAGAGAGAGAGAGAGAGAGAGGAGAGAGAGAGGAGAGAGAGAGAGGGAGAGGGAGGGGAGAGGGAGAGGGAAGAGGGAGAGGGAGGGAGGGAGGGAGGGAGAGAGAGAGAGAGAGAGGAGAGAAGAGAGAAGAGAGAGAGAGAGAGAGAGAGAGAGAGAGAGAGAGAGAGAGCAAGAGAGCCAACACAGGTATTTCCATGAAGTCTCCCATAATATTTCCCTTCACAGTATTATGCTCGGCTCAAATGCGACTCCGAGTCAAGGAGAGGCAACAGCAATACTCAATTAGCCCGAGTGGCCGACAGTTCAACCCTATTAGCACCGTTACAGTAGCGCAAAAAAAAAATCCCCAATAGAGAAACTAAAATACGATCCACCCAACATATGAAAAAATCAAACCACGTCTTAATATAACATCCCCAAAAAAATCAAACAAAAATATGATCGACATCCACCTTAGAAAAAAAAAAGTCAAAATCTATTTTTCCTGAAACACAAACACAAGCCCCCCCCCCCCCCCCCGCTAAAGGCACATCAAAGGCAGATAAAGGGAGATGTGACCCCGCACCTTACGGTCAATACCGCCTCGACAGCGTCCTTTCCCCAACGCGACAGAGGCGACACCAGCGTATCCCCTTTGCTTGAGGCTCGGGGGTTGGGTCTTAGGTCTAGGATCTTCGGGGTTTGGGCTTGAGTCAAGGGTCTTGTTGGATTTCGATTCAAGGGCCTTGGGTTTGGGGTTCTGGGTCTTTAGTTTTTGGGTTTTGGATCTTTTGGTCTTGGGTTTTGGGTATTTGGTCTTGTTGGGATTTGGATCTTTAGTCGGATTTTGTGTCTGTGATTTTTTGGGCTTGGGCTTGGTTTTGGGGTTTGGATCTTTGGTCTGGGGTCTTGGATTTTTGGGGTCTTGAAAGTTTGGGGGCCTTGGGTTTTGGGTCTTTGGTCTTGGGTGTTGGGATTTGGGTCTTGGGTCTTTGTTTTTTTGGGCTTGGGCCTGGTTTTGGGGTTTGGATCTCGGGACTCGGGTTCTGGTCTTCTGTCTCTTCTCTGGGGTCTTGAATTTCGGGTTTGGGGTCTCGGATCGCGGATCTCGGCCTTTGGTCTCGGGCCCAGGGATTTTTCTGGGTCTTGGGTCCTGGACCTCGGATCTCCAAGTCCTGATCTTGGGTCTCGGGTCTCGGGATTTCACGGGTCGGTCTGGACACACACGGAACCCACGAGCCGGAAGAAGAAGACGACCCTCCTTCATAATTCCAAAACCGTTTCCATTTACGATGAGAAACTTTCTTCTTCCTCTTCCCCCAAGTTTCCTCCCGGCCATTAGGCATGATGTATGAGCCTCTAAACACATCTCGAGTTTAACGAAATGCTTTAAACGGTCGCCTTATCTGCCTCGGAAACATCTCTTGACTTCCTTCCATTTCTCTTCTCCTCTTTTCTCTTCCATTCCTCCTCCTCCTCCTTCTCCTTTCCTCAACTTCTCTCCTCTCTTCCTTTCTTCCGGACACTCCCCTCCCCTCCTACCAACAAACTCAACGAAGCAAGACAAGGCAAGACTTTCAGCGAGCAGCTTGAGCACGGAGCTTGCGGTGATTCCATCGTCGCGAGAATACGTGCCAGGGAGCCAGAGGGAGAACACGAGAGAGAGAGAGAGAGAGAGAGAGGAGAGAGAGAGAGAGAGAGGAGAGAGAGAGAAGAGAGAGAGAGAGAGAGAGAAGAGAGAGAGGAGAGTGAGTGAGTGAGGAGAGAGAGAGAGAGAGAGAGAGAGAGAGAGAGAGAGAGAGAGAGAGAGAGAGAGAGAGAGAGAGAGAGAGAGAGAGAGTGAGAGAGAGAGAGAGAGAGAGAGAGAGTGAGAGAGTGAGAGAGTAGAGTGAGTGAGTGAGTGAGTGAGTGAGTGAGTGAGAGAGAGAGGAGAGAGAGAGAGAGAGAGAGAGAGAGAGAGAGAGAGAGAGAGAGAGAGAGAGAGAGAGAGAGAGAGAGAGAGAGAGAGAGAGAGAGAGAGAGAGAGAGAGAGAGAGAGACAGAGAAACTTAAACTCTCTCAGCTTTATTAAGTACGCGCCGCCGAGACATCGAAAGATCAACACGATTAAGCGCGAGGGTCTTGGACGGCCGATCAGCTGACACCAGCTTGACCCGGGCACACCATCTAAGCTTCTTCACACATGGTTACGGATATGCTTCATGGTGTGTTGACTTGTGGTTAAGTGCTTGATGGAGATTAAGGCTTGGTGTTGATTGTGGCGCGAGAAGCAAAGGTTATTGTTATTCAGATTGTTAGTGGTATTGCGCCGGGGTTTATTTATGGTCAGGACGTGAAGCTTTGATGATCCCTGGGACTTGACATTCGGCTCTTTAATGTCATGTGAAGGTCAGCTAGCGAGATGTCCACCCCCTCCCTCCCTCTTTTGATCTCCTTTGCATTCTTCCTGTATCTGTCATCTGTCTGTCTGTCTGTCTGTCTGTCTGTCTGTCTGTCTGTCTGTCTGTCTGTCTGTCTGTCTGTCTCTCTCTCTCTCTCTCTCTCTCTCTCTCTCTCTCTCTCTCTCTCTCTCTCTCTCTCTCTCTCTCTCTCTTTTTCCTTCCCTTCTCTCCTTCTCTCCTTCTCCCTCTCTCCCTCTTTACAGTCAATACAACAGGGAAAAAGCAGATTAAGCTACTCTTCCGTATCTATCAATGCGGGAAAGCCTGGGGGTAATATGGTTAAGCATGTATGTATATATAGAAGATCTTAGATGCTTCACAAAAAGAGTGGGAAGAACAGGAAACTCAGCTGAATGCGAGGGGGGAAGGGGTGATTTTTGGTAAAGAGGGAGGGGGGAAGGAAGGAGGAAGCCGATAAGGAACTAAGGGACAGGAGGGAAGGGACGGAAGGAGGGAGGGACGATGGGGCGGACGGAAGGAGGAGGAGAACGGAGAACGGGAGGAGAAAGAGGGAGGTGAAGGAGAGAGAGAAGGGTAGTCTAAGTAAGTAAACGCGCTTCCCGTAACTTACTCGCAGCACACGGCAGGCAAACACCATAAAACCACTTGTCTATCACCTCCAAACAGCCCAGAGGCGCTGGAACGACAAACCCGCACGGGATTCCCTACTGCAGTGCCTAGTTTTGCTTCATTATTTCAACAGCCGCAAAACGGCAGGAAAATTTAGTAAAAGAAAAAAAGGGAGATTACCTATCTATTTTTTTTTGCGTAGATTCTCGCAAGTTAGTAAATCTAACTCGAGTTTTGATCAAGATATAGCATTTGCTTTAGAACCTGCAAAGTTAATACCCAAATGACAAGGACCCGCCGCAGCGCCTGCAGAAGGGAGGTGACAGCAAAACACTATGACACTTCTACTTTAAACGTACAACCTAACAATTCCTTGAAAGTTTCCGACGCCGGACCAGCCTTTTTCTTTCGAATTCTTATCTTATTTTTACCCTTTCTTCTCCGCCACTAAAAGAAAAAGAAAAAAAATGCCCACACACAAACGCCCCATAAAAATGAAGAAATGCCCTCGGCGTTTCATCAGTCAATCCAGAGACACACAAAAAGGCCGTTCTTTAGCCGGTGACGACAAGCGCCCCTCGCAAAATTCCACCGCCGGTTATTTCCAAGTTTTCGCCAACTCGAGCGCTCTTCGCAAATAGTTCGGCCCCGAGCGCTCCGGGGACGAGGCGCGACCCGGCCCAAATCACGTTAGCCGCAAGGGCGCCGCGCCGAAACTGATGCCTGGAGATAGATCAGCGAGACATCTAGATAAAAGCGCGCCGGACGAAATGCAGCACGATAAGCCCCGCATGTATCACGGACCGCCTCGAGACACCGGCGCTATCTTGACCACTTTGTCCCAGTCGCCGCGGGTCATCCTGTAGCCGAAGCCGAAGCCGTCGCTTTCTCTTTTTTAACTTAGCAACACACACTATGCTCAAGCGGTGAGTGTTCGCAGCAACTGACTAAGAAAGAACGATTGAAAGAAAGAATCAAAGAAAGAATGACAGAAAGAATCAAAGAAAGAAAGAGAGAAAAAACAAAATAACACCTTTCTTTCCAGAACAAAATCTCCTGTTCATTCAGGACGGCCACACACCTGCCAGATGAATCAAATTCCAGTGCGGAGGATAGTCGGGAGAAAAAAACAGAACCATACACACCATAAACACCCATATTGTCAAATCCGAACGTCGATTCTGGTGCAGCTCGGCAGGAAGTGACAACAAACAACGACAGCGTCCGATTCCTTTGATTTGGCATTGGAGCTGAGGTTGTGCAGGGAGGTTGGGCGGGTGAAGGACGGGTGAAAAGACATTATGGTGAGGTTTGGGATAGTACCGGAAGTAGTAATTCTGGTATGAGTCCTAACACAAGCGATTTAATTATGAATTGAGTACAGGTAATAGCGATCAGTAATTTTGCCGTCATCAAAATTACAATAACATCATCACTACCATTGCTATCACAAGCAAAAATATAACTTCACCAGCATCATTACCCTGTCTTCACACCCCTCCCCAACTCACAAACAAGAGTGACAGTGAGAAATCTGTCCACAATAAAAAAAAAAATAATAATAAAAAAATAAAAAAAAAATCGTCCAATCTGCATGAGAACGAGCGAGCGAGCGGGCGGGCGGGCGGGCGGTGGGCGGCCAGAATCACAATGCCCGCCCTCCCCCTTTCTCTCTTCACTCTCTTCTCTCTCCTCCCCTCACCTATCCCCCCCTCTCCCCCTCCTCCTCTCTCCCCAACCCAACTTTATTTTTTTCGAGCTTGAAATCATTTGCTTATTTCCATATAGATGGTGGATTTGCATGGACCCCCAAAAAAGAGATGTGTTTCCATTTTCTGGTGCTACAACTGCAATGATCCGAGCGAGGGCGGCGGCAGACTGTGCTGCGGGAATGCGTGAGTTTACATTTTTAATATTAGCGATTTAATTATAAACGGATTAATATGGTAGACCTGAATGAGGGAACTGTAAAAGATGTGCTGGTATTTTTGACAAAAAATATATATATAAATTGTGCCGTGAAGTAAAATTTGTAATTATATGGTACATTTAATAATAATAATAATAATAAAGTGTGGCATACTTGAATCAAGCAATTCATAAATGTTCCTCAACCATTATCAGACGCCAACAACATCCTGCAATTGCAAATGTCTTATTTACGACCCTTTTCAATGAGCCTCGCTACACACCGCCACCATTTACATAAAAAAGCCCCCCCCCCCGACAAAAAAAAAAAGTCAAAACGATAAAACACAACAGCAAAACCGCGTATTGTCCCCGTAAAAGAGAGGTCGACATGAAGAGTAAAATCGAGGGCCTCCCCGCGGGGTCTCATTAAACGACTTCATTTGCTCCGACATCACATGTTTCCGATTCCGATCGGGGGTTACTAAATTATAAATAACGACAGCAACAAAATTAAAATAACAACAACAATAGCAACAACATTGATGATGATGATGATGATGATGATGATGATGATGGTGATGATAATGATGATAACAACAACAAGAATAATAATATCAGCAATAGCAACAACAAGAATAATCATTATCATCTCTACAAAAGGCAATAAACCTGCAATGAAAGTCCCCCAAGCAGGCCCGAAGTCAAACTACGCAAGCGCCCGCATATCTCCGCCACCTCTAACAGCTGTAACAACAAAGAAGAAATTCAGAGGAAGCAAGGGCTTGTTCGGGCACATCATGAAAACCAATATCACGGCCATAATAAAGCTCTAACTCCCGTCATTATCGCCGCTACGAACACAAGTGTGCCGCCGAAACGAGGATGTACGGCACACAATGCCCGTAAATTATAAACTGCCGTATAAACACCGGTGGTGATAAAAAGAAAATCTGTCGGCTGGAGGTTCTCACTCTTTTTCCGTCTGATTCTCTCTCTTCTCTCTCTCTCTCTCTCTCTCTCTCTCTCTCTCTCTCTCTCTCTTATATATATATAATATATATATATATATATTATATACACATTTTTCTACATTCTCTCTATATTTTTCCCTCTATATACATATGTATATATTTTCTCTATTTTTCCTCTATTTTTCCTCACTCACTTTTTTTTTCTTTTCACTTCTCTCTTCTCTCTCTCTCTCTCTCTCTCTCTCTCTCTCTCTCTCTCTCTCTCTCTCTATCTATATATATATATATATATATATATATATATATATATATATATTAATATATATATATATATATATATATATATGTATATATGTTATATATGTATATGTATATATTATATATATATATATATATATATATATATATATATATATATATATATATAATATATACACATATACATACATATACACATATACATGCTTCTGTCCCTG